TAGAGTTTTTTTACAACGCTTTTATCAACTTGCATTGTTGTGTTCCAGAAACTTTCAATGCTGTGTGTCCGACACCATAAAGCAAAGCTTTGAAAAGCTCCTATAAAAAAGCATAGTGAATAGGGCGAGGTAGATGACATCTAGATGTCGCCCTATGTACTACGTTTGCTACACCGGAAATAGACGACACGCCATTTCTTTAAATAAAATTAATTGGTGCTCGTTTGTATGTACATATATATGTAAATGCATGTGTGTGCACCTTTCTATTAATATCGTTGAATTATTTTAATATCTATTGCAAACTTTTATTCAGACAGGACTAAAAAGTAGAAAATAAATAATATAAAAAAAAACTTTTAAATATACAACGCTTTTATAAATGGACTAAAAAGTAGAAAATAATATTTCTCAGTCCCATAGAATTTGTTTTGATAACTTTTGATTTTGAAATTTTAGCAAAAGTCATTATAAACAATCTATGAAATTGAAAATGAAAAGCGTGGGGCGCATGTATTACACTTGAATTGATATGAAAAGTAATATATGTATGTATGTATGTGGGTATATGAATAACGACCGCTTAAAATCGATTTCAAAGTTCTACTTTCGCTGTAGAAATTTTAGGTCTACGTTATGTAGTTTGACTATTGTCAACTAAATCGAATGCTTTGTAAGTGAAGTGACTTGTGGACCACTTAAGGTATAGGTGGACCAGTTGGTAATCACTTTGGGACCAGTTGGTAACTAGTTCGGGAACCAGTCCAGGAACCAGTTGGGAACCAGGTTGGGACTAGTCCGGAACTACTTACCTTCGGCCCAGTTGGGGACCAGTTGGTCTTTTTAAGCTCCTGTGGCCGTTTTAAGGGTAATTCTTGGGCTCCTGCACTGCCGCTCGGGGTTTCTGCCTTCTACGGTGGTAATTTTGGGCCGGGTTGCCTGTTTTGGCGGATTGTTGTGCTGTGTGCCGCGTATTACGTGTACCGGGTACCACTTTCTCGAGCGAATTGCTCTGGGGAACCTGTTGTGTGAGTTGCTGGCTTTTTGGCTAGACTTTGAGGAGGGTTTATACACGCATATCGGCGGAAATAGACGACACGCCATTTCTTTAAATAAAATTAATTGGTGCTCGTTTGTATGTACATACATATGTAAATGCATGTGTGTGCACCTTTCTATTAATATCGTTGAATTATTTTAATATCTATTGCAAAATTTTATTCAGACAGGACTAAAAAGTAGAAAATAAATAATATAAAAAAAAACTTTTTAATATACAACGCTTTTATAAATGGACTAAAAAGTAGAAAATAATATTTCTCAGTCCCATAGAATTTGTTTTGATAACTTTTGATTTTGAAATTTTAGCAAAAGTCATTATAAACAATCTATGAAATTGAAAATGAAAAGCGTGGGGCGCATGTAATACACTTGAATTGATATGAAAAGTAATATATGAATGTATGTATGTGGGTATATGAATAACGACCGCTTAAAATCGATTTCAAAGTTCTACTTTCGCTGTAGAAATTTTAGGTCTACGTTATGTAGTTTGACTATTGTCAATTAAATCGAATGCTTTGTATTGCATGCGCTCCACGTTTTTCATTTTCAATTTCATAGATTGTTTATAATGACTTTTGCTAAAATTTCAAAATCAAAAGTTATCAAAACAAATTCTATGGGACTGAGAAGTATTATTTTCTACTTTTTAGTCCATTTATAAAAGCGTTGTATATTAAAAAGTTTTTTTTTATATTATTTATTTTCAGTCACATGCCGAAATTGTAACATTCTTCCCCATTTTAATTGCAGGTATGTACACAGTATGTAACTATGCTACATGGGTTTATCACCCGCACTTGACAACGTACAGATGTACATTAATATGTATGTATGAATGCATTTAGTTCACCCAATGTGCCACTACTACTTACATATATATGTATAAATTGCCACTGAGCAAAACTACTTGAGAAAAAAGCATTAGTTTAATAGCACGAGTGCAACATCGTACACGTGATAGAAGTAAAACTTCTTAAAAAAAGCACATGCGTGCACACTGGGTAGAAATCTTAACTAAAACTACGAGGCAATCAGACGAATACAGGTGTTAATTTTATCCAAAGTTGGTACCAAGTTGATAAGTTTTTATCATTTCTCATAATTCTTTTTATTTTTAATTTTTTCGAAAAGAAAGGATGTGACATTATTATATGTTTCAATGGACAAATCGATTTGAATACATAATTTAGATTTAGATAATATTTTTAGCAATTTATTTGAGAAAAATAAAACATTTAGATTATTGTTTGTATTTTCATCGATTTTAAATTTGCTACCCCAAAATAATTGATATCAAATAAAACACCTCTTTGGGGTAAAAGTTTCGAGTGACGAAAGCTGAACTAGAAACAAAAAATTTATGATATCAATTTCGTGACGAAAATCATACGCATTTTTTAACTGCCTTTGAAACGTACGGAAAATCTTTTTTTATTTATTCGGAACGTTGCGAAATTTCGTCTACTGCTAGAAACACAAAATAAAAATCAGAACTTTTGCAACGATTCGTATGAATAAAAAAGATTTTCCCTACGTTTCAAAACAGTTAAAAAATGCGTATGATTTTCGTCACGAAATTGATATCATAAATTTTGTGTTTCTAGTTCAGCTTTCGTCACTCGAAACTTTTACCTCAAAGAGGTATTTTATTTGATATTACATACAAAAAATTCTTGCGCATTTTCATTTGACCAATCATTCCTTCCTTATTTATCCATCGATTTTCTTCATTGGTAGCTTCATTTTTTTTGCAAAAACACAGGCTTTCATATAAAATAACTAAAAATTTACAGAAAAATCCTAATTTTTTATTATTCCTCTGTTAAAATTTGAATTATTTAAATTTTTTCATAAAAAAAGCATAAAATTAAGAATTACTAATTCTTTCAGATACATACACGACATTTTGTTTTAAGATTTAGTTTCGAAAATTGAATGGGAAGCTGATAGCACACATGTTATAATAGTTCGTTCAATACATTTTTAACACTTTTTCAAAACTTCCAAATGCAAATTCGAAAAGGTCAAAACAAAGAGGGAATAAAAAAATTTCCCGCTGTGAATTTTCAGAGCTATATATTTTTAATATTCACCACAAAATTGTACTAAAAACATTTGAGTAGTAGTATAGTATATTGTGAAAGAAATTGCATAAAAAATTCAATTGCACAAAAAATGCCAACACCGTTTCGTCTGCCTTGACGCTTTCATTAAAAAATTACAAGCCGTGCACGATAGGGTTGTGGAACGAAACTGCAAATATTGCCACACATCACAAACCCTTTATGTGTGTACAGCATAACTCCATAATTTGGCTCTCACAGAGCCTAGATTTCTACTTTGGCTCAAATTAAAGATCTTAAATAACGTTACAACGTACTCGTTGTTCGAGGGGTATAAATGCAAACAATTTTTTTTTTAAGAAATCCGGTGTTTTTTCAGAAGAACACTATTTTGGACCAATTTGTTTAAAATCAGGGAGTAATTATGGTTCCATGGAAATATTTTTCCGAGAAAGAGAATATAATTTGCTTTCAGTTCAAAAATGCTCACCGCTTCTCGCTTTAGAAAGCTGATGCTGCATTGGAAAAATGTTTTCCTATTAACGGAAATTTATTCCGTCTTTTTTTCAATTCTAACCTCATTCTAACCAAATTTTACGAGTTGTGAAAGATGATTATCAGCCAAGAAAAAAAAAAAAACAAACTCTTCGGTGGCATTCTGAAAACTTCGTTAGAAAACTATGAAGAAGGCGAATTGGATATTGAAACTGAGGCTTCATCAAGTTTTCTAAGGGAAATTCGAACGCAAACTCTTCTGACGAGCCTAAAGGAGTAAGGATGCAGAACAAACATCGATGTATCGGAAACAAAAGTCAGCCCAGAAAGCGTTCCTCACTCTAGAAAAATGGTCAATAGAGAGCGAGTACCTTCCACTTTTGGGTCGTAAATGTCTTCTTCATCGTGCCCGAAACAGCCCGGAGTCTTTTCCGGGCAGAAATGTGCTGTTGTTTGTTTACATCCGAAAGCAAATTTTGTAAAATACAAAAATGGAAAATTGCACTTTTGTTTCAGAAATGAAGGTATTTGCTAATTTTATTAGCCATATAAGATAAATACATATAAAATCCTTGTTTAGAGCTAATTTGTTGATTCCGGGCACGAAATGTGTTTTTTTGCGTTCCTCACGCTCTGGGCACTTTTAAGACGTGCTGGAACCTTTTTGACACTTGTTAGAGAGTAACTTGTTTTTACGCTCTAATTACTGAAACTGCCCGGAAAGCGTGTGGGACAAACCTAATAATGTGACGTCACACCCAGTTGCTCTCAGATCGATAGGCGCAGTCTTTTATTACATCATTCATCACTCCTACCGCCTCTGCTAATGTTGTTGAGACTTTGGTGTCCAGTTGTCTTAATCTTTGTTTTTAAATTCTCTGTTGACTACCCCATCTTAGCAGACCCAGCATTTTCCGTGTGCAACTGGTATAGCTGTTATTACCATTGCACGATTGCCCAAGCGGATGATCGTGTGGGAAGCGGATGATTGCGTCCCTAATAATAGGACTATAAATGGAAAAGGTTATCAAATTAGAATGGTCTCTCACTTTTCCAAATAAATATTTTTAGTGGTTATCCTCTCTTCAATATTTATATAATTTCTTGGAAAAGCAATAATACAATATTCTGAAGGTGCACCAAATAAAAATGGTTTGGAAATACATACTAAGTGCTGTTGATCAACACATTTTTATGAAATGCATACAAATGTATTTCTAAGCAGCTTTTTTCAGCAAGGTGTAATTTTGTTTAAAAAGGTGATTAATCAAAACATAGTTCCTTAATCTGCCACAGATATTGCTTAATTTGTTTTTCTGTCGGAGTTAACACGTGAAAAACATAACAGAAAAAGTAACCTCATATCAAATTATCATAATGATGAATATCCGTAATACTTACATACATATGTATGTATTTGCTTTATGAAATTACAGTGACTATAATGGGCACCAAAATTGATGAGGGAAGTGAGAATTACAAGGAGGTTATGAATGCATTTAACATGTAAGTACATTGTTAGCATTCAAATACGATTCGATTCCTTCTACATAAATTACTACATTTGTATATTACATCCTACAGCTTAGCTCATCGTACGGCACAGAATTCAGTTTACTCCTCCGTGGGTTTGGGATTTCTAACTTTAACGCCAGAGTACAAAAAAACACTTAAATATTTAAGAGAGTTAGTATGCGATGTAAGTACAACAACACTTAGTAAAAATAAAATGAATTCATCGATTGAATAAATTACAAATGTTCTTCATGTTCATTAACTTGCAGTTGATCAAGAAAAATCCCTCTCTCAAAGCCGAGTCGGATGAATACGAAGACGGCAAGCAAGCGCTAGTTAATTTGGCGGTAAAAGCTATGAAACAAGGACTATTCACTGCCAGCGATGTGGAAATCGAGAGTTTTACAATGATTGCTGCGGTAAAAATTAAAAAAAAAAAACATATATAAATAGATGTACATTAGACTGCATCACCAAAAAAGGCTGCGGTTTTTCGCTAGTTGCGGAATTGCAAAACTTATTATATTTTAAGTCGTCCACCAAAATATCTCGGAAAAATATTAAGGTTTAAGCGAGCTGGACCGATTTGAAAATACCTCCATAAATGGGGGTTTTTTTATTAATAGGTAATAATAGTTTCTTAAAGATGTTTTTTGAAAAAATCTCCTCAAATTACAAAACGGTTTAAGCTTAAAAAATGTATTTATTTATTTAATAATAATAATAGATTGGCGCTAAAACATTTGATAGTGTTTGGCCGAGCTTCTCCTCCGATTTGTGGCGTGCGCTTTGATGTTGTCACACAAAGCGGAGGGACCTACAGTTTAACGCCGCCTCCGAGCGGCGATTGTATTTTTATGAGAAGCTGTTTTTCATGGCAGAAATTCACTCGGAGGTTTGCCATTGCCTGCCGAGGGACGACCGCTGTTAAGAAAAAACTTTTTCTATATTTTTTTGCGATGTTGCTTTGACCAGGGCTTCAACCCAGGCGTTGCGGGATGGAAGCGCGCACTGCTTACCACTAGACCACAGCGGCCAGTTAATTAAGTTTTTCTTATACCAATCTTTGAAAAAGTCAAAAAACAGCATCAAAAATCTTATTATTACGATTCCGTTAACATTTTTTTTTATTTTTATTTTTTGTAAATTTTCTAAGCTTAAACAGTTTTGTCATTTGAGGGAATTTTTTCAAAAACCATCTTTAAGAAACTATTTTTATTCATAAAAAACTCTATTTTTGGAGATATTTTCAAATCGGTTCAGCTCGCTTAAATCTTAATATTTCTCCGAAAAATTTTGGTCTAGGTCTTAAATATAATAGATTTTATAATTCCAATGGAAAAACAGTACCGATTTTTTTTGTATGGGGAGTGATGCAGTCTAATATACATCCATATCGTTACAATGCAAAGAAGGTGTAATGGTTTTTTTTCATAAATAAGAATATTTATTGTCTAAGATCCGAATAAGGCATGTCCATGACCCATCTGTTTAATGGGTGAAATCTATTTTTTCTGAATTTTAACGTGGTAGTAAATAATTCGCGAGTTGGCCGGCTAGAAAGATCCTGCCCAGGATATTTTCAATTAAATATTCAAAAACAATTCTTTTTTTGAAGTGAAACTTTTTAATCGAGTTCGGAAATGGTTGCGTTACATATTCAACACCAAGTCATAAAATCTGTATCTTTCGATCGATTTTCAAAAATGAGGTCTCACATGGAAGGCCTTGTCCTTCGGGTGTGCAACATAGCTTTAGTTCCATGAAAGAAGTTCCCACATGTTAGAAAATCGAATTCAAAATTTCTCTGTCTCAGATGGTTGCGTTAAATATTTAACACCGAATCATAATGTCTGTATCGTTCGTTTGTTTTTAAAGAATGGGGTGTCAAATGAAAGGGCTCGACATGTAGATGTGTAATATGATTTTAGTTTTTTAAAGGGTTGCCATATATACGAAAATCAAATTCAAATTATTTATTAAAATAAATAAAGTATCCCAATATGGGTATCAAAAGAAATGGTTTTGAATAAAGATGAAGATGAAGATGAAGATGAAGATAAAGATAAGTAGACTGTTATGATCGACCTATAATTCTCGCAGGAGATTTCAACGTCACCTTTCCCTGGCCAAATCTGATGAACTGACAAGATTAGTTAAAGGAAAATTTTTACTGAAAATGGTTAATTGTAGAAATGATCCAACAACCAAAGGAGCGGCTACCATTGATGCAGGTTTTTTCCAGAAATATCAATAATATTGAAATAAAACATTTCATATCTTTCTTTAGTTACCACAATATACTAGTTAATATTGTAGATATGAATATTTTCTTAGCCAGTTAAATTTAGCAGTTGGTTATTAAAATATATTTTGTATATTAGTAAATATGCACATGTTATGTATGTTTATCGCACTTTTATTTCTTCTGGAATTTCCTATATTAAGCTTCACTTCTTCCGCGCGTAGAGCCTACGCGCACTAAGTTTTTTATTTTGCATTCATTTGTTTAATGAACGAATATCTCTTATGGGACTTTACAAAGTGTCTTTGTGTTGTATTCGATCACAAGCTTTCATTCAGTAGCCATATCAATTCCATCATTGCTAAAGCTTACTCCTTAATTGGCTTTGTGCGTCGTAATTCCACGAAATTTTCTAATCCATATATGTACCTTAAAGCTATTGTTCACAGGTATTGTCCGTTCACAACTTAAATATGCTGTCTATGCTCCTGGTAATTCTTAAATTTGGTCTTCGGTCCTTGAAGTTTCAGAACCCTATAACCTCCTACACATTTCGTCTTATGTTAATTAATCTTAAGTCATTGGAAACCCGTAGAGCTCCCTTGCTAGATATATTTATATATAATATTGTCAGTGGAGGGATCGTATCTTATCGAGAGGATTAGATTTATGTTCCCAAACGTTATCTTTGCAGTTCTTTCCCATTTAAAACTAAGTTTGTGAGCATTGCAAATCTTACAATATGTATGCGAAATTTTAATTTAATTTCACGAAATGTTTCGTTATCAAAGTAAGTTGTAAATTTGTTTTAACAATCTTTCTCAGCATTATATTATTCACCAAAATTTAGAATTTTGTTTTTAAGGTGCCCATCTCTAAATCCAAGATGAAGGATATATTTTCCGAGTATACGTGTCTAGATATATGACAACGTAATCTACTTCGAAATAAATAAATAAAATAAAATATTATATATCAATCGAAAGTATTAAGAAGTTCACAAAAATTTATATAAAACGATTCATCTATTTAAATAGTTACCTTTTTACTGCACATGTTTTTTTCTAACTAAACCGTCATGTACCGTTTCGCTCCCGGTACTACCGTCAACGTTTCGTCGGGATAATAACCCTTTCCGACTGCTAGAGTTACAGATCAAATGATGCACAAAAAATATGCATACTTAGAATTTTGAATACCCCTAAAAATCAGGACTTAAGGTCTAAAAACGCGTTTTTATAGGTTGAGCCTCATAATTGTTCGTAACTTAATTTCTGTTTTTTTTCGATCAAAAATATTTACAGTGCGTACACGGGAACCGCAACTCTCAATACGTGTAATTCCTTGATTAATACAAGTCTTTAAAACAAAACATTTTTGCATGCCAGACACTCGAAATTTGAATTTTTTGCATTTGGGTAAGGCTTCCTCAAGTGGGCACCGAATTTACCAAGATTAATAGGGGTATTCTCTGAGTCTTGCAAAGGCCTTGCACGGTAGACGGATTGCACGGTTTGCAAAGCTGCCCCATACGAAAACCGGTTTTTACCGTGCAATCTGTGCACCGTGCAAGGGCTTTGCAAGACTCAGATAATACCCCTAATATTTTCAATGACATTTGAGGCAGCGCCGAGTTTTGTAGTCGAGTTTGTAGACAGTGTAAATTTTGTTGCAAAATTGAAATAGTTTTTTTTTAAGATTAAATGAATTTATTTTAAAGGTTTCTGTCATAAAATACTCGTCCAATAATTCGGAACGACCAAGAAAAAATTAAGCTTCTCAACCGTTAGAGAACAAATTAAAACCCAATATACACATATTTATGTACACTTGTGGTCAATTGATTAAGTTAAGTGACATTTTGATCGGTTTTGGCTATTTTTCTTTTCTTTAATTAATTTTTATTTTTTTATTTTTTTTAAAGTCTAGCTCATTACTTCTTCTTCTTATTTGGCGCTGTAACCGCCTAAGCGATTTTGGCCGAGTCCAAAACAGCACGCCAGTCATTTCTCTTCTGTGCTAACTGACGCCAATTGAAAATGCCAAGTGAAGCCAAGTCCTTCTCCACCTGGTCTTTCCAACGCAGAGGAGGCCTTCCTCTTCCTCTGTTCCCAGCATCGCGGCCCGCGTTGAATATTTTCAGAGCAGGAGCGTTTCTGTCCATCCGAACGACATGGCCAAGCCAGCGGAGCCGCTGAATTTTAATTCGCTGCACTATGTCTATATCGTTGTAAAGCTCATACAGCTCATCGTTAAATCGTCTGCGATATTCGCCATCACCAACGCGTAAAGGTCCGTAAATCTTTCGCAGAATCTTTCTCTCGAAAACTCCAAGAGCCGCCTCATCAGATGCTTTCATTGTCCATGCTTCCGCGCCATACACCAGCACAGGCATGATGAGTGACTTATAGAGTGTGATCTTTGTACGACGAGAGAGGACTTTACTTCTCAATTGCCTACTCAGCCCAAAGTAGCACTTGTTGGCAAGAGTGATTCTCCGTTGGATTTCAAGGCTGACATTATTATTGGTGTTAATGCTGGTTCCCAAATAAACGAAGTCGTCTACTTTTTCAAACTTGTAACTGTCAACAGTGACGTGGGTGCCAAGACGCGTATGCTCTGACTGTTTGTGTGCTGACAGGAGGTACTTCGTTTTGTCCTCGTTCACCACCAGACCCATTCGCTTTGCTTCTCTATCCAATCCCGAGAAGGCAGAACAGACGTAGCCCTTGTTTTTACCGATAATATCGATGTCGTCGGCATACGCCAGCAATTGTACGCTCTTATAAAGTATTGTGCCTGAGCGGTTCAGTTCTGCGGCTCTTATTATCTTCTCCAACATAAGATTAAAGAAATCACACGAAAGGGGGTCCCCTTGTCTGAAACCTCGTTTGGTATCAAACGGCTCGGAGAGGTCCTTCCCTATTCTGACGGAGCTGGTGGTATTGCTCAACGTCATTTTACACAGCCGTATTAGTTTCGCGGGGATACCAAATTCAGACATCGCGGCATAAAGGCAACTTCTCTTCGTGCTGTCGAAAGCGGCTTTGAAATCGACAAATAGATGGTGTGTGTCGATCCTATTCTCGCGGGTCTTTTCCAAGATTTGGCGTATTGTGAATACCTGATCTATGGTGGATTTTCCAGGCCTAAAGCCACACTGATAAGGTCCAATCAGCTCGTTGACGGTGGGCTTCAGTCTTTCGCACAATACGCTCGATAAGACCTTGTAACCTATGCTTAGAAGGCTAATTCCGCGGTAGTTGGCGCGTATGGCGGGGTCGCCTTTCTTGTGGATTGGGCAGAGCACACTTAAATTCCAGTCGTCGGGCATGCGTTCATCTGACCATATTCTGCATACGAGCTGATGCATGCACCTCATCAGCTCCTCGCCGCCGTACTTGAATAGCTCGGCTGGCAGGCCGTCAGCTCCAGCAGCTTTGTTGTTTTTCAGCCGCGTAATCGCTATTCGTACCTCGTCATAGTCAGGCGGTGGGACAGCTACTCCATCATCATCGACTGGGGACTCGGGTTCGTCTTCCTCACTACTTTCAGCGCTGCTACCATTCAGTAGGTTATAAAAGTGTTCCCTCCATAATTTAAGTATATTCTGGACATCGGTCACTAGGTCGCCATTGTTGTTCTTACAGGAGTTCGCCCCGGTCTTGAAACCTTCCGTAAGTCGCCTAACCCTCTGGTAGAATTTTCGGGCGTTCTTCCTGTCGGCCAGCCTCTCAAGCTCTTCGCACTCACGTATTTCGGCCTCTCTCTTCTTATTGCGGCAAATACGTCTCGCTTCCTTCTTCAGTTCCCTATAACGGTCCCACATGGCTCGCGTTGCGCCCGATCGCAGCGTGGCCCTGTAGGCGGCATCTTTTTTCTCTGCGGCTTCTTGACATTCCTCATCGTACCAGTTGTTCTTTCGGGCTCGCTGAAATCCAACTACTTCTTCGGCGGCGGTACTTAATGATCGGGAAATGTGGTTCCACTGCTCGCGTACGTCGGATTGTTGAAGAGTGCTCTCAGAGAGCAGGTGTGTGAGTCGAGTGGCGAATAAATTGGCCGTCTGTTGTGATTGCAGCTTTTCGACGTTAAGCTTTCCTTGCATTGTTGGGCGCACATTTTTTGCTGCACAGAGGCGGGTGCGTATCTTGGCTACAACAAGATAGTGGTCCGAGTCGATGTTTGGCCCTCGGAGTGTACGTACGTCCAAAACGCTTGAAGCATGCCTTCCGTCTATCACAACATGATCGATTTGGTTTCTCGTTTTTCGATCTGGAGACAGCCATGTAGCTTGGTGGATGTTCTTATGCTGGAACCTAGTACTACATATTACCATATTTCGGGCCCCGGCGAAGTCGATCAGCCTCAGTCCGTTATCGGACGTTTCGTCGTGGAGGCTGAATTTTCCGACAGTGGCGCCAAAGATCCCTTCCTTGCCCACCTTGGCATTAAAATCGCCAAGCACGATTTTGACATCGTGTCGGGGGCAGCGCTCATATGTACGTTCCAAGCGCTCATAGAAGAGATCCTTGGACGCCTCATCCTTCTCTTCCGTCGGGGCATGGGCGCAGATGAGCGAGATGTTGAAGAATCTAGCTTTGATGCGGATTGTGGCTAGACGTTCGTCCACCGGGGTGAACGCCAGTACTCGGCGACGGAGTCTCTCTCCTACCACGAATCCAACACCGAATTTGCGCTCCTTTACGTGGCAACTGTAGTAGACGTCGCAAGGCTTCACGCTTACTTTACCTTGCCCCGTCCATCGCATTTCTTGGATGGCGGTGATGTCAGCCTTTGTCTTCCCGAGGACATCAACCAGCCGGGCAGAGGCACCTTCCCCATTAAGGGTCCGGATATTCCAGGTGCATACCCTTAAATCATAGTCCTTTATACGTTTGCCGTGGTCGTCATCAGAAAAAGGGGGTCTCATCCGAGGCTGTTTGCTTCTTTTCATTGGGCGGGGTTTTAACGTGGCGGGACCCAAACCCAGCGCACGCGAAGTTTTACGCCTTCTCACTTTAGCTCGCTCCCAAACGGGTGTTTGGTTGCTACCCAGAGGATACGTGGATATAAATATCCGGACGTTGTGAGCTGCGATTTGAACCGTACGCACAAGAATCGCTTCTGGCCACTCCCAGGTGAATGGCAGTCAAAAGTTTTCCACTTCTGCGCACGGAACCATCCTCCAGTCAAAAGTTTTCCACTTCTGCGCACGGAACCATCCTCCTCATTACATAGCCACATAAATCAACATTTCAAACTTTGTACAAAAATATGAAAATTCAACAAACTTTAACAACTACACCCACCAATTTTTTTTTATACAGAATTCTTAGAAACATTTTAGGTATGCAATTCTATAGCATTCAGTTTTAGTGGGTTGAAGTGCACATTTCAAGACGCTACAAAATAGCGTCGAGCATCTGAGTAAAATGTTTAAAGTTTTTGGGTGTAGTTGTTAAAGTTTGTTGAATTTTTATAAATGTTGTAAAAGTTTAAAATATGGATTTATGTGATGTTGGTTACAAATTACAAACATTAAATAGATAAAAGGAAACTAACCAAAAATGGTTAACATATCACCTAACTTATGGTGATTTCGTTTCTTCCAAAAAACGTTATCCTTCCACGGTGCCAAATGTATTTGATGTTACACTCACCCCCTTTTGCCTTCTTGTCCTTTTCAAGCTCGCGAATTTCATAATATTGTCGTTTTAAGCAACCATCTGATTTTCAGGGCAACCATCTCTCCCTCTCTTCTAAGAACAGAGAACATACACGTTTTGCCATACAAGGGTGCGACATTTTAAGAAACGAACACACAATTTTTTAAAAATCGAACAAACAAGAGAAACGAAAACACTATAAATCAGCTGACCGCAAAGGTACATATCGTCGATGTTTTTGCGAAACCGCCCATCGACCAGTTGCAAAACTGCCTAAATCGCCGTTGTGGCGAAGATTTGGTAACCCTGAACTCCAGGCATCGAGATTTATGCATAAAAACCATAAACTGGCTTTTAAGACAACATATTTATAATAGCTATAGAAAATACCACCTCTCAAAGCATTGCCTTCAAAAAAAAACTCCTGTAAAATTTTAGTGCCGTAATATAGGCGGTTTTGCAATTGGACGATGGGCGGTTTTGCAAAAACATCGACGATATGTACGTATATACATATAGTAGTAGTAACAAATAGCGTGCCGAATTATGTAAATAATAGCGCAATGTCATTTAAATCAACAAAAATAATGTCGCTTAAGCACACATGTCTTGACTGATTTTTAACCATTTTTCAGTCCTACGAGACCTCAGCTATAGTGGTGTACTCGGCGCTTGTGTTGCTGGCGATGCATCCGGAAATTCAGGAACGTGCATTTGAAGAAGTTCGTTCTGTATTTCCAGACGGAATCACTTCAGTGGAATACGATGATTTGAAAAAATTTCCGTACTTGGATATGGTCATAGCAGAGGCATTGCGACTAGCTCCACCAATACCGTACATTGGACGGCAAGCTATAAATGAAACCGAACTGCGGCCGGGTGTAACAATTCCTAAGGAAATGCAAGTTATCATACCAATTTTCGAATTGCACAGACGCAAAGAGCTTTGGGGCCCGGAAGCAGCTCGTTTTAACCCCGAAAACTTCCTACCTGGAAATATTGCAAAGCGTCATCCGTGTGCGTATATGGCTTTCTCAAAAGGACCGCGAAATTGCATAGGTAAATTAAACAGAAGCTATGAAAATCAATCAGTAATCGAACCAAATTTGTTTTCTGTTTGCATTATAGGTGTCCGTTACGCAGAATTCACATTGCACGTATTATTAATAACTTTACTTCGCAGTCTTAAATTCTCAACAACTTTTAAATATGATGATATCGTTTTCATGCCAAACGTTACTTTGAGCTATAAAGTGGAGCCACTATTAAGTATAGAAGTCAGAGCTTAATAAGTTGCATATGAAAATTGAAGCGGATAGCCTGCATTCGTATTTAAATATAAGGAATAAAATAGTAAATAAGATGTTATTTTCTAATGTAACTACAGTTCGTAAAATGTATTTCAATACAAGCACAATTATATTTACTAGTATCGCAAAACTGTCGAAATTTGACTTTTTTTCATACACTTTGGAATTTTGCTTATTACCAATATTGACTCTATTACATGAATGACGATTTTGAGGCTAATTTACACCATTTTGAGGCATTTATACTCCCCCTTTTATCCAACATAAGGCCTTATACTAGGGCGCACAGTGGTTCGGTGTGTTGAAACAGAAAAATACTTTGAGTTATAAAAACTTTGGTTATGTAAGAGTTAAAAAAATAGTAACTCGCGAATTTTCTGCTTTCTGAAATTAAAACATTATACAACAGGCATGCAAATCTTTAAGCGCTGTTATAAATTTTTTTCTGAAATTTATTTGCGTTTCTTGCTGTGATCTTAAATTTTAGTCATGGTAAAGAAAATCTTAAGAAGTGAGTTGTTTGATATTTGGAGAAGTGTTGCTGAAACTTCTGAAAGACAACAAGGTGTCCGTGATTATGTGATTATTAAATTGAAAGAAATATCTGATGAAAATGCTCGTTCCGAAGTAAATAAAGTAAATTAAGTAAATGACTTTAGATTCGTAATCAGCAACCCAGAAAACCCCCAGATACCCAGTTACATAGAAATCTACCGATTTTTTTTTTATTTTCGTCCGCCATATTGGATCCACCATTTTGAATTTTTGGTAAATGACTTTAGATATGTAATCAGCGACCCAGAAAACCCCCAGATACCCAGTGTCATAGAAATTTACAGATTTTTTTTAATTTTCGTCCGCCATATTGGATCCGCCATTTTTAATTTTTGATAAGTGACTTCAGATTCGTAATCAGCGACCCAAAAATCCCCTAGGTAAGAAGTGGTGTAAAGATCCATCAACGAGTATTTGTTTAAATAGTTTCGTCCAGCTAGATTTGCGATCCGAACCACTGTGGGGCGGGTCGAAAATCAAATTTTTCTCAAATCCCTTGGTAATAGTGAAAATATATTGTATCATGAAGTCAACAACAAGCCTGCGAAATATTAGTCTTTCATTTTAATTGTAAGAGCCCGCGCATCGACCGCCAAGTGACCCACAGCACACTAGTCGAGTAAGACTAATTCTTGTTAAAAATTCTGGGTTTAGCCAAAAATTTTGGTGCATATTAATAGATAATGAATCCTTTAACGCAAAAGATAAAGTCAAGTATCATTTCGCGCAGCCCTTTATCTTATCGTTAATCTCAAACTCATCTATTTTTAAGAAAATTTTAATTGTTCTCTTGATAATTGCACTGGCCTATAGTCAAAAGATGTAAAGAACAACATTAATATTGCTGGCGTGCATTTAGATCGCTAGTTCCAAATATTCTCATCCTTTTTTAATATTAGCTATAGTTTGCGATTTTTTTGCAAAATTAGGAACAATTTCGGTAGCTCTAATAGAATAGCCATTATTTTCCATCATCGCGGAAAAATTTTGTTTACGCAAATTAGTATGGAAACACTGAACAGGCACAACCTCTAGACACACTGATTGGTTTACTTATGTTTATGCATACAATATAAAAATTGCAAATATAAGAAAATGATAAAAAATTTTGTTCAAGATTTTTTTTATTTTAAAATAATTTGTTTATAATCTGAACTATTTTAGTCATATTATTATCAAAAATCAGTAACATTAAGTCTCGTCTTCAATTTGTTAATTATTACGCACCGATCGAGTAACATTTACCAAGGTTTTATCGAAAAACTTAAGTGGATTTCCATTTTTTTTCTAAAAAAAATTCTCTTCAATTGTATAAATAACCTTTAAATAAAAGAACCGGATTACAGAAAACTGTGCCAGCGAGTGACTTTTTTCGTTCAAGCTGAATGCAAAGCAATATCGTCCAACTGGAGAGTCCGCAAAAAGATTTCCCAGGATATGTTAAAGACTATTGCATTTACTTAAAGACACTTTTTCACATAATGGAATTAACTAAAATATTTATGTATATCTAAACACTTATTGCACGTCCCCTGCTTTCATATAACGGCAAATTTAGAAACCGCGAAAAATGTGCTTCTGCGGCGACTAATGAAACCATTCCGCATCAGTTTTCAAGACTGCAAAAATAGACTTAAAATGGGCGTTTCTCACCCTAATTGTAATGTATGTAAATACTTATATGTTTGAAACTACTATTAACTTATCGAACGATTCCTAATCTTTGACAATACACTTATTCACCACGATCTTGAAAACTGACCAAATCGGCGTCATCCATGGTCATTTTAATATTATATAAACATTAAAAGGTTTGAAATAAATCTCGCCTCACTTTTTTGTATTTTTCACTTGGTTGCTGAAGTAATGAAGAATTTAAAATTCATAATGGAAAATCATAGTTTTCTTATTTTTTATTTTAATATCTTAAAAACGTGTAGACTTATTGAAAAATGTTAAATGAACGTGATAATTTGATATATCGTTCTGTTTATAACATTAACGCATTCCATAGATAATACAAGCCAAAGTTTCATTTTCAAAATTCATACACTTTGATTCAATTGCGCGGGCTAAAGATAAGTTTTAAATTAATCTTTCGTGGCCAATAACAATTGGCTGAGACATAACACATCATAATATTACTATTACAATGCGGTCAAATGACTTTTATTTCCCCCCATACAAAATTGACCCGGCCTACCTTATACTCAGTAATCAAATAGATTCGCAACTGGTGACTAGGAGGCAATTCATTCAACCAAGTCTATACAGTTTTTTATACAAAGTTTAAAAATAAAATAGACCTGAAAAAGACATGTTCTTATGTATTTCCCAAATTTTACACTGCTGGCAAACACAAATAAGGATTAAAATTTAAAAACTAATTAATAAAATTAAAGTAAAATATTTACAAAGTTAACTACAAAATGCCTTTTTTCAAAAAGCCTGTGCGACAGTTATTATCAGGGAACGGATTTTATGGAAATTATCTTTTTTCTGCTAAAGAGATAGAGTATATTCGATTAAGCACATTAACGATTTAGCTTTCCCGGATTCAATATATATCTATACATTTGATGTTGCCTTTTCTACCTTAAGGCCAGTATACAGCTCTCAAGAAAAGCAAAAACTCCATACAAAATGACGTACAAGAAATTAATTAATTAATTTTATAAATTTTCTTGTGCCAATTTTCTTAAGAAATTTGCTACGCTTTCTAGTACGGGATTCTTATTTTTTTTACAGAAATATATGTATGCCCGTTCCATTATTTCTTGATGGAAGAGTTAGGCAAAAGGATGTGAAGTATCAGATGTCAAAATTCCTTCGACACACACACGAAATAATGGCAATTTTTTTCTTGTCCATTTTCTTGAGAGCTGCATTCTGGCCTTTAGTTGTAAAGGGCAAGGAAAATGCCCTTCCTGATAATATGAAGTTTTTAAACGTTCCATATTCAAGTTGGGCGCCACACAATGGGCCATATGACGACATTAGCCGGAAAAAAATCAAAGTGGAAGTTTGATATTTTGATAATTCCAACTTGTTAAGAAATGTCAAATTACATAGAAAAAATTATCCTTTGGTGTTTCAAAGCCCGCTTTAGTAGTTTTTTTGTATGTCAAATTTGACTCATTGAAACTTTGTAGACATATGCCAGAACGCTAAAAAGAATGTATTTTTATGTTATGAGGGACGTAGCTAGAGTAATGTGTCAAAATTAGGCGGTTTTTCATAAAAAAATATGAGCAAAGTCGAACTTTTTTGGACAATCTAAACACTGTACTGTCATGTACTTTTCTTAAAATTTTTGTATGAGAATCTCCATGATTCCCACTTTTAAATACTGCTTAAGCCAGACCTTGCAACAATATTAAATTCCATATTATATCAAGCAGAGTCTGAACGAAGAAATGGTCATAGTTACTCAAGAGTTGCGACTGATGAAGCAGATGAAAATACCAACTCCCGCAGTAACATTTCGCAGACATAACTCAAAAAAAATATATAAAAACCAAATGTGTAGTTATAAGTTATACATATATTAATTAAAAAACAAGTAAGAAAGTCTAAGTTCGGGCGGAGCCGAACATTAAATACCCGGCGCAAGTATTAAATATATATTTTTTCACCTTTCCGAAACCTTCCGCTAGATGGTAAGCCGGGGTGTGGTTATTGTCCGATTTTTTAAATTTTTGGCCATTAAGTATGCTGTATCAAGGCCAACAACTGTGGCAAGTTTGGAAGAAATTGGTGCAGCGGTTACCAAGATATACACATGTAACCATAAGTGGGCGTGGCTACGCCCATTTTCCAGAAATTTACAATATTCTTATTTTTCGTTTGAAAATTATTGTAAATATCAATTTTGAGTGAATTATCTTCATTAGTTACTAAAATATCGCAGTTTTCGTATTCCTGGAAATTACCGTTATATGGGATGTGGGCGTGGTTACAGTCCGATTTCGCCCATTTTCAATACCAACCTGTTAACAGAAACATACATACCAAATTTCGTTGAGATATCTAAATTTTTGCTCGAGTTATCATGTAAACGGACGGACGGACAGACGGACAGATGGACGGACAGATAGACATGGCTTAATCGATTTCTCTATTCATTCTGAGCATTTATGTATACATTTGTCTATATCTATCTCGATTCGTTTTGGCTGTTACAAACAACCGTTATGTGAACAAAATTAATATACCCTTGTGCACAAGTGCGCTCGGGTATAATAATTGAATATATTAAACAATTTTACATTAAAACTTGAAATAATGTTTTCTTTGCAGTGTAAAGCTTTAAAATTAATTTAAACTGTAGCTACGTTTTTCGATTATGTTGGTGTCAGAGCCCTTGGGAAGGTTAAAACCTTTATTTCCAACATCTATATAAACTCCTCTTTCTTTTTATCACA